GCTCGCACTCGTCGGTCATGGCCGTCCGAGTCGAGCGTCTCGGCCAGGCAGCTCAGCACCCTGCGGCGCCGGACCACGCTCAGCGTCGCTCGCCAGCCGAGCCCGGTCAACGGCCACACACAGCCCAGGCGGCTCGCAGCAAACTGCATGTTCTTCGGTGATGCGTATCGTACGAAGTTCTGCACCTCATACCAGGTGCAGCACATAGACCAGTTCTCGTCAGGCGGCTCCAAATCAGCGCTTGCCTACGTGCCGTCCTGAACATTCACAACGGTCAGTCGAACGCAAGATCCCGCGTGACGCGCGCGTTAGGGGCGTAGTTCCCCACCAGTTGGATGGCTCCACAAACCCCAAGGAAAAAAATGGGTCAAGGCCGAGAAGAAAACCCGCCTATTGGCGTATTGTGGGAGGCGTTTTGCGTCATTTTTTCACTGATCACCCAAACCAATTTGGCGAAACTACGCCCCTGACGCGCGTCATAGCCTCAGCGGCCGGTGCACTGACGCGCCGTCGCCACCGCGGGCGTCCGAGCAGGCCTCCCTGACGACAGGAGCGCAGGCCTGCTGCAGCACCGGGTCCACCTTCCAATCCTGACCCACGTCAGCCATGCGGAGCAGGTCCTCCACCTGGGGCAGAGCGGCGCCCGGGCTGTGACGGCGGGCGGCGCAGCACGGACGCCCAGCAGGTCAGCAAAGCGAGAACACCGACAACAGCGAGGCTCCTTAACAACTACTGCTCCCATACCAAGCCCGGTTGCTGACGACCACGTACGACGGAAGAGAGGACACACGTTTGCCTCGGGAGGACATCCATCTGTCTCGGGGGAGGAACACGTCTGTCTCAAGAGGCGGACACACATCTGTCTCGGGAGGAAGGAACACGTCTGTCTCAAGAGGCGGACACACATCTGTCTCGGGGGAGGAACACGTCTGTCTCAAGAGGCGGACACACATCTGTCTCGGGGAGGAGGAACACGTCTGTCTCAAGAGGCGGACACACATCTGTCTCGGGAGGAAGGAGCACGTCTGTCTCAAGAGGCGGACACACATCTGTCTCAGGAGGAAGGAGCACGTCTGTCTCGGGAGGAGGAACACGCCTGTCTCGGAAGGAGGACACAAGTCTGTCTCGGGAGGCGGACACACGTCTGTCTCGGAAGGAAGACAACACATCTGTCTCGAGAGGCGGACACACGTCTGTCTCGGAAGGAAGACACACATCTGTCTCGAGAAGCGGACACAAGTCTGTCTCGGGAGGCGGACACACGTCTGTCTCGAGAGGCGGACACGCGTCTGTCTCCGGCGCCAACCCGGCTGCGGCACGCACCTGACGCAAGCACTGGTTCGAGATGCGCTCCTCCTCGGCCACCTTGGCCGGGTTAGCGCGCATCATCAGACAGTGGATGACCTGGCCGCCGCGCAGCTGCGCCTCCGTGGCGCACAGCCGGTCAATGTCCTCGGCGCAGGACACTGCGGTCACGACAGGCGCGGCCGGCGAGCGTCAGAGCCCGCGCCGCAACCGCGCGACGCGTGCCGAGCCGGTGCTGAGTGTGGCAGCGCCATCGTGGGCGCTGCCGTACACTTCTCCTACTGAGCACGGCATAACGCTGATGGCAAGTGTCGGCCCGTACCGAAGCTAACGTAACACAGCACGCGGGGAGCGAGGCGGCCCTACTCAGAGCGAGCGCTGCCCTGGACCGAGCCACTAGGTCGTCCTGAACTGTGCTGGCATGTCGTTCTGAACCTCCGCGGGCACGCCGTCCGGAAACGCTGCCTCTTTCAAACAGACTGGGCAGTACGCCATGAGTTACTTCATGAGTCCCCTATCAACATGCATGAGGTTACTTTCCTGGCAAATGGCAGAAAGTCACCTCTCTTTAGGGCATTGACGAACAACAAAAGGTGAAAACATCTGACAAAACACGCACGGATGGGGACCCCATCATCCTGTATCTAGCGATTCACCTCATTGCATGCATGCATTGTCGGCCTGATGGGAGAGAGTATCTGTGTGTTGTCGGACCCCGCCCGCCGCTACGCGCACCGGGCGCCGCTCACTCACTGATCAGCTCCGGTGACAGGGTGTAGTCCTCCATCAGCGCGCGGCGGTGATCCACCATCTCCTGGACGCACTCGCCGCTCACCTGCTTGCCTGGCGGTCAGCGCAGACGGTCGGACGGTCAGCGTCACCGGCCGCCGGCTGCGCCAGGCACGCTCTACCAGGCCAGAGACGACGGGGCGCGGAAGGGGAGGGGTGGCGCCAACATGGCGTCACCGTCCACGCTCCCCTCCGCGCCACATCTGCCACCGCCTCAGCATGTACACAGGATAGACAAGCGTATGGCCTTTCGGACCTCCGGGCCGTGCATGCAGCATGGGTCACCTGGCGTGCGCCCTGCTCCGGACCGAACCATCGCAGGCAGGCGGACGGCGTCGCGCCACCCACCCTGCTTCTGGTAGTTGTCGAGGCAGAGCAGGACGAAGCCGAGCTTGACGGAGTGGGCCGCCTCCGAGTCGCCGGGCAGTCCGCCCGCCTGCCGACACCCGCTGTCCGCCAGCTCGGTCTTGCACGCTTTACGCAGCCGCTTCGACCACTTTGTAGTCGACCGACGTCATCTTCTGGCGACGCGTCAGCTGCTTGCGGCACTGGCGGCGGAGAGGGTGTGGGGTCAACGGGCTGAAGAGCTCACACCTCCGCGGCTTCCCGTACACGGCCCCACAGCGCGCGCGCGCGCGCGTACCGATCAGCCCCGCAGCTCCGGCCGCTCGACTCACCTTCTTGCTCATCTCCTTCTCCATCTTGTGGTGCAGGCAGGCACTGGTAGACCTTGCCATTGCCGGACAGGGTGCTGGCGCAGAAGCGCTCGCGGTCCTCGCGGCAGGCGAAGTAGAGCGGTCGGTCCATGTGGTAGTCCTCGGCCTGCAGTTCGGCCACGCGCAACACCTGCCCGGCACAAGCACACGCTGACGCGCGAGATCCCGGCGGCACGGCACCAAACGGGCACGTGTTTGGCACCCGCGTGTCCGTGAACGGCCCGCTCTTGCTAAGCCCTGTCCCAGTACGGGCGGCGTCTGCTGAGAACATTAGCTGCAAACCAGTTTATCATTTCCCAAAATCGGAGACAACGAAATGCTGACGCAGAAGACGTCTGGTAAACAGCTGTGAGTACGTACGCAGCACATCTGGCAGCGCAAGATAAGGCAATGGCCAGCCACGTCTGATAACGTGACAGTGACCTGGCAAACAGCTGTGAGTACGTAGGCAGCACATCTGGCAGCGCAAGATAAGGCAATGGCCAGCCACGTCTGATAACGTGACAGTGACTTGCGTCTGGAGATCGGCGCTGACCCAAACCAGGCAGCGAGAGGCACGGGAGCCACACGACTCGACTTCCAACGACTGACGAGAGAAAACGCCACCAGCGCCGAGCGAACCGAACCTGCAGCTTGCAGGAGTCCGACAGCTTCTCCATGTGGCTGGAGACGCACTCGATCGTCTTGCCTTGGCTGTGCGCCTTCTGAGGACAAAGGACGGCGATCAGTGAGCTGTATGGCAATCCTCGGTCACCAGGGTGGTAGGGGTGCTTACATTGGTCATGCTGTCGCGCCCCGTCTGTGTTCCCTACCTGTTGCCCCTTCCCTCACTCAGGATCCGATGGTCAGCTTCGGGCCCGGGGTTGGACCGGCAGGTCACATGTCACCGTCGGGGTCGGAGCGAACCGGATCGGCAGTCACCGACACGCGCAGGAGCAAGTGCCCCGAGCAGCCCCAAGTCTGGCAGCATGACGTTATATTCATGCTGCCCGACTAGCCGAGTTTTGCACAGCTGCCGGCGTGGACTCCCTGCGCGGGCAGCCGTCACCCGAGCCGGCACGACCGGCTGACACACCAGCAAGCCGCGGCGTCCCCGAACCACGTTCCCACAGTCATGTTCCGCACGTTCAGCTGGGGGGCTGCTTGAGTGAATCGCATGCCCGACGCGCTGACGGACAACGCGCGTCCATGAAAAGACGACAACACTTAGGTCAATCCGCCGCTCAGCTGGAGCACTCGGAGCGCACGGTCCTCCGACGGACGGACGCCGCCCGCCGGCTCCGCGGTCCGACCCGCCGTTACCTCATCACTGTCCTCCAATCGGCCGCATTGAAAACGGTCAATGTCGGGCCCGCAGTCTTCGGCGAACTTGTAGATCATCCGGTAGTCGGTAAAGATCATGACGGCCAGGTTCTCCAAGAAGTCGGCGCAGCCTGTCAGTGCGAGAGGGACACGACACTCACCGAGGTGACCTCGGGCCGTAGGCGCCGCCATGGCTGCCTGCTGCATACAAGCCAAATTTGAATCCTCCAATGACAACGTTTCCACAAAGGACCACGGCGGGAGGTCCCGAAATGATGGCCCACTGCCTGCACGTTGGACCATTCGTCTAGAGAATTATGATGTCCTGCAAGTCAATGAGTACCTTCACGAGATTGAATCTTGTGTCACGTTGTTCTCATCGCGTCACTGACTGCTGCGAAACAGGCCGCGAAAGGGCAAATTAGGCAGAGAGCACAGAGAGCGCAGCCGCAGGCGTGTAGATGTCTCCCAACAATTTGTCAGCAAACGCCTTTGAACGAGCTCCGTTCAAATCAGCCACTGCCGTCGGATCACGGTCCGTGTGGACCCACTGTTCAGATTATGCCTACTCGCCGCCCACCCGGCCAGTGATCATAATCTGAACAGTGGGTCTGCAAGGGACGGTTGGAAGCTTGTGAAACCTGGGTCAACTGGAGACGCCGGAGCACGGGGTAAAACCATGCAGGGCGAGAAAAACGCCAACGAAAAAACTTTCCGAGTGTCCGTGGGCGCGTTCTCAGACGACAGGCCACCGTTGTACGCTGGAAGGGACCCGGCAACACCGACCATCGTCGGCCGGCGGCCAGCTCTCACCATCATCCTCGACGTTATCCATCTGCTCCACCACACAGGAGATGAAGTGGCCCGGCCGCTGGTCCGTCTCCCTCGCAGCCCGCAAACTTCTGACCCGGACAGAGTGTGTTGAGCGCGCGCACGATGCTGGCGCTGCGGGTCAGGTTGTGGCGCAGCTGCCAGAGTACCTACCGGCCGGCCCGCGAGACTGTCCGGTGGCGAATTACGCAGGGGGGGGGAGGGGGCGGCGGGTCGGTGACTGAACTGCGAGGCCGTCACGGCAGCGTGGTATGCACCCTGCGCCGACTGGACGCCGCGCTCACGAAGACGAATCGAGCGTTGCACACAAAAATGATGACAATGTCAAATTAACTTCCCGGTGTTGTCTTGTAAGCGGTCGCCGAGACAATCAGAACCCAAACCAGGCGGCCACAGAGTCGATGGAGAATGTGATCAGACCACACTTGTGTTGAAGACGCCGCATACTAATAGGCAGTACCACGCAAACACATGGTCACTGGAATTGGCGAGCGGGTGACCGAATCGAAACGGCACCCTGCTTTGTGGGACACTCATGGTAATTGTAACAAAACAATGTCATTTTCAAACAATTTAAAGACGTTACAGCTTCGGTGCAGGAATCTCGGGATATTACCAGTGGAGACCAAATAGCTCCACACCCTTGGGACAAACAGGGTGGATATGGAGATTCAAAGCGTTCAAAGGAAAGTTGCTAAGCCAATTCTGCTATACAGGTCTTTCATGTCATTATGATTAAGAAAATGTGCTACCGGCGAAATAATTGGCTTGGATTTACAGTGCAGTGCTATTAATTCACTTCTCTGATGCTTAATGTCAAACGCCCTTGCCATAATGGATGGGACACTGTCATACCATTGAATAAAGCTCACATTTCACACTTAAGCAAACTAGCATGCTGCATTAAGTATACAGTTATCGTTCCCGACATTGCCAAAGCAGGGGCGCGTCTAGCGCATGCTTACGTGGTGGCACTGTGGAGATACCCCAGCATCTTCTTCCTCCTCCTGGGACAAGAGGAAACGATTATCAGCGAACATTAGCTTATCAGCATTTGTCACAGCCTCTGACATAGACTGATATGGCTCCGACCTTTGTCCTCTTTCAGCCTCAATACACCAAACATCGCACCACACACATTCCTCGGACATCAGAGTCAGTGAGTGCCCGTAGCAGCGGTTGTCCGCTCGCACATCATTTTAGCAGCTGACAGAAAATGTGAAGGACCAGTGCTTGCACAACTCTGAATGCCCTAATCAGCTTTGCAAGAGCTAGGTGCATCAGTGCAATTGTCATATCGTTTCACGTCGGTGTTGCGATGAGTCACGCCGCCCGCCGCCTGCATGGTTCGGCAACGCCCCCGCTCACGGCGCCGCAAAGGTGACAACCCCTTTTGGAGTTCCCCGCTCTGCTCAATTACTGCCCCGCCCGGCTCCGGGGCTTAAGTCCGCAGTCCTGACGCGCCGCGTGCCCCCAGCAGCGGCGCGGACCACAGCGCCACGCACCTGCTGGTCGAGCAGGCAGCTCATGATGTCCAGGTTGGGCGTGTTGTCGTTGAGCGCGATGCTATTATCGCCGGCGCACAGCCGGTGAATGTCCTGCACACACAGCGGGTGCGTCACCAGCTTGACGCTCAGGAAGTCGACCTCGGCATCCTGGCTGGCCTTGGCGCCAGTCGCTGGGTTGCGGCGCCTCCTCCAGAGCCCCGGCCAGCGCCAGCGCCAGCAGCAAGGCCAGCGTTCGCAGCAGCGAGGTGGCCCACATCGCTGGAGTCTCCTCGGCACGTGGTGGAACGTCCGTCAGTGGGGAGTGATGCAGTCAGACCCAGCTGAAAGAGTCCAGCACAAGTTTTGAGACACTGATGCAGATAGTAGGGGTCCGCTTGATGGGGAGACAGGAATGCATGGCCCTCATGGTTTCAATGATTATGCCTGCAGCATTTATGTAAAACATTTTGATTATGTATTTTCAGATTTTGAAACAAATATTAGCTGCATAAACTTTTTTCTGTCAGTATTTGCAAAGTCACATATCCTTCCTTTCATAGAATTCTTATTTCAGGTCACCACTACCTTTCAGGTTTGCACATGGCTCATTCCTTGGTATTACCAGCCAAACACATGGTGTGAAAGCAGATAACTACCTGAATATGTCATTAAAATGGTAACACTGCATGCACATGCTTCACTCACAATGAATTATTGTTACTTAGGAGCAATTCATCTAAAATACATAGGTACCTGAAGTACACACCCAGTAATGAATCCAACCATGTAATGTATGGCAGGTTATATTTTATGCAAATTATAATGGCTGTGGTTTGTTAGTTCATTAAGTATGCACTAACATCCTGATAACCTAAAACCAGCAATATGTGGTAATGACAATATTCATACTCCTCATCCTGTTAAAATGAGATGATGCACTATTCAGCATCATTGATCATAGCCAAATGAATGACTTCTGTGATCACACCATTCTTGGCAAGGGAAAACAGGACAACATGAGAACATGGATGTGTAGCCAAAAGGGCAACAGCAGACCAATGGGCATCTTGACAAAAAAATATGCTGCTGGTAATGCAGTTGGGTGTGCTCGCTTCTGAAGTCATCCCTGATGCAAACCACACTTCAACTTTTGATGATGCTTTTTGATTTGATCCACAAGCTGATTGCATTCCCTCTCAATAAGCACAGCCAATCATTTTAGGTGTGTGTGTGTGTACATGTGTAGAGGGGAGGGGGTTGGGGATCTGGTAAGTATTTTCTCCTAGGTGGAAGGGTGGAATATCAGTAAGCTTTTAGAGCTCTGCATCCCTCCCCCAATGTTTTTACATCATATTCAGGAACAGAGGGTCATGAAGTTATATAATTGTATGCAGTATCAAAAACAAATAGCTAAATATCTTGCTATTTCAGGAATTACTGCCCCAGCTCTGAAAGCTGGGCACCAAATAAAATGTACACTGCCTTTCAGAATATATGATATTACAGAGTCTCTAGCCCACATACCAATAGTAATACAAAACAACAAAACTGTGTCATCTTACCATTGGTTGCAATAAATTTAGGCAAAGTCCAGGAAATTCCTGACCTGATGCTAGCAACATTGTTTTGTATTGGAATTTCTCCTCAGTGGAGGTGCTCTTTTTAAACTTGCATCCATATCCTCCTGTTTTGTGCATGGCATTGCTGTGACCAAGCCTGGTTAATGAATGTGTGGTATGTGCAAACATCATTCTGTTGTAATTAAAACAAAATAAGTTCAGAAAACAAGGTGTTATGCACTGTGCAGGGCAATACACATGTCATGCAAAACATTGTATGCAATCATCCCTGCAAATTATGCCCAACATTTAACATTTCAATCATGTGAACAATACCCAAACTGCATTCATTGACCGGACAATACCCTAACCGGATCTTCCAAGACCTGTTGTGTTCCGAAGACTGGATTACACCTACCTTCAATTATTTTGCAATTTTGGCATTACATGCAGCAAAGTGCAATTTCATGAACACAGACATTAACATGAAACACAACAATACAAGGAGAAAGGCAACGGTAGTGCTAACCCATAAGGCGTTGCAGTATGGTTTACCATATGAGAAACCCGGTTCTCGTCATTTTGAAATCGGCCTTCGAGCTTGTGCGATGACAAAATGTACACCGACGTAGGGCTCTCCTACAGATCTAAATCCAGTGACCCCCTTTCGTTTGGCATGACGAATGAACAATAGCGTACCTAAAATAGTCTCTTTGCTTTCTTACTCACCTCCTTCTGCGCCTTCTTCCCTCTTCTCATGCACAGTTGTTTACCACAAGATGCTTACGACGCATTATAAACGATTCGGCGCAGAAATTAACTACCCAATGTACCCAACTGTATGCAGTACCAGAAGGAGCAGAAACCAATCAATGTACGTGATCGTCAGCACCTACGAATGAAAACGTTGTATTTTAGCTAGCGCTAACCACATTAGCGAGACGTAAATGACGGCATATACAACACGTCAGCTGTGCCTTTCGTGAAGGCCGGCGGTTCAATCGACCTCGTCAGGTTATTCCCCAAAGGATAGGCCGCACTGAGGTCGTATAAGGGAGTGGGAATGGCTATGAGCGCCCGTGTGAGAACAATTCGCCCCGGAGATTGTCAATCGGCCAAACACTACCGGGCAAATGCCGAGCCGGGCTCGGCCGTGGACCGGCCCCGCCGACCAAGTGCGTAGTTTCGCAAGATGCGTTGGGGATGGGGGTGAGGAGAGGCTGAACAAAGTGACAAAATTGACTCAACATATCCCCAAAACACAACAGGACAGACGGGTTTCCCTCCGACTTTGGCCCACTTTCCTCTCAAAGTTGAGGGGCTGGACCCGGAACCTTAGTTGGAGAGAGGCGAAGGGCTGAAGCCCTGTGGGAAACTACATCCCTACCGCCGCCCTCTGTCACAGAGACGCGCGCCGTCCTCGGCACAGACCTACAACCCTGTCTCAGGGCCCCTGAGGCCAACGCGCCTGGAAAATGGCCCGACCATGCCTGCGGATATTGGCTGAACCCAACCAAGCGATCGCGAACCGGCCCCCGGTCCGAGCCCGACCATGCTATGGAGCCGCGCCGTCCTCCAGGCTAAGGCCATCATCTCCAGCCATGTCGCGACCCGCGGGGTGCGAGCGGGCGATGTAGCCGTGACAGCTCGTAAGCCGTGCGATAATGCCACCTCCCGTGTAGGACAGGTACGACGGCCGAGACACTGCAGACACCGGGATCGCCAGGGGCGACCGTCTCCGCTCGTGAACAGCTGGTGCGACCACCGGACCAGTCTGACAGAACCGGCCGGACCGGTCGACACCACGTCCGACTGTCCTCCGCGCACGGTTGGACGTTCTTAACCATGGTGTTTCTCCTCCACCGTTTGGCTGAAGAAATTGTATCTAGACGTTTGTAGCTTGTGGCGAACCACCAGCAGGATTGGGACGCGTATTTAGCCTGTGTCCCATACCTATCGAGTGGTCGTCCAGAAACCATCAGGGGAAGCCCCCGCTGCTCTGGATGAGCAGGATGCCTCGCAAGGCCGTTCTCAATGTCATGCTGCAAGGTCCTCTCGAGAGGCACGGCGACACGGCGATGAAAAGAAAGGAAAACAACGGAAAGCCGAGGCAAGGCGTCCACTGCAGCGCGCCGTCCCAGGTTATACAGCTGCGGTTGGCAGCACCTCATCGGAACCAGAAGGTGTGGAACAATGGAAGGCCTTTGACCAGCGATTTGAAGTGGGCGACCAGGTGCACACCTCTCGATGAGCGGGATAGAGAGGGTGAGTAAAAAAGCTGCACTGCCCATGAAACCCGGTTACCGAGTCACAGCGCGAAAGGACCACGAAACTACGTGATGGAACGCTCTGAGCGCCGAGTTACGCCGCTCCGGGTGCACGTCGACCACCTGAAGGAGACGCGACCCGCGCTTGTTTGGCCTGAACAAGAGCCAATGTGTCCCGCGAGGGCTATCGGCCCGAGCGCAGCACGGAACCTTTTACGTGCCTGGAAACCCTGCTGCATGCGGAGCGAGCCGGTTAGATGTCCCTCGGGTGGGATAGCCGGGACCATAGGTGGCTGCGGGACAAAGAGAAGCCACAGGACCCAGGCAACGGGCAGGACGCTGCTCTGGATCACCGTAGAACAGAGCCCCGTCGGCCGTCGCACCCTCGATCCCAAACGCCGCCAGTACAGGCGCGGGTGCGCGGACCGGTGGCTCTCCGAGAAACGAGCCACAAGTGCGAGCGCGGAGAGGGGACGTGACAACCGAGGGAGACCGCTGCGGAGGTCGGCCCGTAACAGATCCAGACGGGAGTGGTCAGAGCGGGGAGGAATCCAGAATAAGGACGACGAACGTAAGGCTCGAGCGGAAGGGTACCTCACCTGTTCCCCGCATTGTACGTGAACTGTTCCGCCGCGAGAACACTGCATTCGGTCCGCCCGACCCATCCATTGCGATGGTACCCGACAGGCCCACCGCTCTGAGCCAGGCTGATACACGTCATGGTGCTTGCGCTGTGCGCAGCGAAGTGCTGCTCAGAATCCGTCGGCGACAACGGAGTCCAGATGTTGAAGCCACAGCCGGCTGGACTGTTCTTCGAGCCGAGAGGGCACCTGCTGTTCGCCATCTCGCAAAAGATCCCAGTCCTCAGGACCCAGGCCAGCCAAATACAGCCGGAACGGATGCGGATCAAAGACAACATAAAACATATAGCGGATGTGTTGAGGACCAGTCTTAGCAAAACAGCATGAACGGGAGAAGACAGAAACAGCGCGACGGACACAAACGGCTGGAGCAATTCGTCGTCACGTGAGCAGTACTTAGAGCAGGAGAAGACGTGGATGGACCGAGAATCGGTGGCCTCACAGGCAAAGGTAAGGCACGTGTCGTGGGAGCTTATCCAAGCGCGCCCGGCCAGGAGCACCCTGCCCTTCGTCGGCAAGGGGCTGAATTTCTTGTACGGCAAGGCGACGAAAGGAGAAAAATAACTGTGGGTTTAGAACATCTCCAGGCTGAAGCCGTGGAGCTACAGCATACACACGAACTGCAAGCCTCTTTGCCAGGGAAGCTGGTGAGAACACAGAGGGCTGACCATAAGAACATCGCTTGTTGTCAAGTATCGCTTGTGTGTGTGTGTGTGTGTGTC